GGAACGACCAAGGACTATAGCCTTGGAGCTGTTTGGAAGCTGAAGCAGCAAGCCGTGAAAAATGCCTATTTTGCCTTTTCAAACAAAGTGTGAACAGCCCGCACCCAGGCAGGGCAGGAGGGTCTTTCTTGCCACCAGTTGCTCCAGGGAAAATCGTGGCACTGGCGAACCTAGAGTTCGCAGGGCTTGGCCTGGAGGGCAATTCCTTCGCCCAGCCTTTCTGGGTGGAGGATGGGGCGGTGAGGGAGGGTGAAGAAGGCTGGGCGGCCTCTACCTTCCCAGGAGGCCTGTGCAGGAGATGCTCCTGGCAGGTGCCTGGGAGCCGGGCTGTGGAATGAGGCTGCTGGCCTCCGCCCTGGGCGTTGGCTGGGGAAGCCCTGGCCTGGCTGCTGGGGCTCGTCTGGGTGGGAAGAAGGGGCCTCGGGGTTGGGAAAGGCCGACAGAGCCCTCCAGCCCGTGGGCCGCGCTCGCACGGGAGGACACGGGCTTTCCGGCTCAGTGTGACGACAGTACCGGGGCCCCAGCTGCTGAGCGCGAGCCTGCGGGGTCCAGGGGGCGCGGGCCGTGGGCTCCGATGGCTCGGTGCTGGCTCTGCCTGACCCGGGGCTGTCACTCCAGCGCTGCGCGCCCGCACCAAACAGGTGCCGGAGGTGTTTGCCGCCCTCCCGGGCGAGGGCGCGCTTAGCGCAGATCCTGGACGGAGACGGCGGCGCGCTGCTGAGGGAGCGTCGCTGTGCGCAGGCAGGTGGACGCAGGGCGCCTAGGCCCGGCCCCACGAGGCTTCTGGGCCCCGCCTCCCTCCGAAGGCCGCCCCTCTGGGACCAGACAGCCGCGAGGCTCCCGGGAGCTCCAGCCGCGTGGCCGCGCTTCACCCCTTCCCGCCTTCAGCTCCGCCCCCCTGCCGTGGGCGGCACCATGTGGGTGGCACCATGTGCGCGAGTGCCGGCCGTACTGCGCCCTGCGGCTGAGTCAGTGTGTGCCTGTGTCAGCGGTCACGGCGATTTCCCTTCTCCGTGGTCACTCACCCACCCAGCCACCCAAGTCAGCCTGTCGAGGGACAGCAGAAAGTTCCAGGCCTGGAAAACCCTGGCAGGGGCAGCAGCATTGGGAAGCTGGTGCAGGGGCCCGGCGACCTGGCCCCTTCAGGCCGAAGGCGGCCGCGTCGCGGTGAGGCTTCACCGGGGCGGGCCAGAGAGCCGCTGCCAGCCGAGGAGCCCTCCAGACCTGGGAGCGCGGGTCCTATCACCGTTAGAATGAAACGAGCCCGAAGTGATGCCATGCCTCATTAAATGCCAACCTGACGTAGCACAATGTTAGACATTCACACACGGCGTTCAAAGACGCCGCAGACCTCCCTAAACTCTACTGCAAACCCCTCGATGCGCCGCAGAGCCCACTTTAAGCCTCTGAGCCCGTTGAACGTGTTTCTGCCACTTCTGGGGCAGGAGCCGTTGGGTCCTCAAGTCCTGGCTACACGGCTCTGCCAGGCTGTTGGCTTCACACTTGGTGTCTTGTTCAACGACCGATTTCTGACCACCTACCGCTGTCCGGGCCCAGTTTGTCCAGGGGACAGGACAGAGATGGTCCCTGCTGCTACCCAGCTGACCGTCAGAGGGATGAGACGGGACAGACACACCGACAGGCCCCGGGGGCCGGTGAGGAGGGCGTGGAGCGGACTGCCCAGGGGGCGAGGGCGGCTGCCGGCAGCTGGAGCACCGCGGGAAGCCCGGGCGTCCAGGGAGGGCTCGCGGGGGTGGGCGCAGACTGCACCTCCGGCGAGGGCTCCCCTGGGGGCAGGAGAGGCAGGCCGCTCCCGGGTGGGACTGGGTCCCGGCGGGCTGCTGCTGCGGACAGAGCCAGGGGCGGGGGCGGGGCGGGTGGAGGCCGTCGGGGAGCTGGAGCTGGGGAGGGGGCTGCAACCCTCCTTCCATACTCCGATACGGGAATGTTGGCGCTTCCTGCCCCCTGGGTTTAAAAAACACTTTCTAAAAATCCTCACCTGAGGATATCATATTTTAAAACTTGAGTTTAGAAAGATAAGGGGGAGAGAGAGAAAGAGAAATTTCCGTGTGAGAGAGAAACATCCATCAGTTGCCTCCTGTATGCACCCCGACCAGGGACTGAACCCAAGACCTTTTGGTGTTGGGGGACATCTCTCTAACCCACCGAGCCACCGGGCCAGGGCCTGTCTGTCCCCCAGCTGGTGCGGCTCCGTGGACTGAGCGCCGGCCTGCGAACCAAAGGGTCGCTGGTTGGATTCCCAGTCAGGGCACAGGCCTGGGTCACGGGCCAGGTCCCCAGGAGGGGGCGCGCGAGAGGCGACCACACATCGATGTTTCCCTCCCTTCCCCTCTGTCTGAAAATAAATGAATAAAACCTTTAAGAAAACAGTCTAAACTAACTGTGCTACAGGGGGGCCTCGCGGCCTCACGTGAAGGGCGACCCGGGGGAGCAGCTCTGTCTCAGCGGCAGCTGGCGGCGCGGCTTCCGGGGGCTTCCGGGAACGGCGGCCCCCTTCCCGATACACGCTCTGAGTTGGCCCAGCCTGGGCCGCCGGTTACACCCACCCCACGTGTTCGGAAGAGCGTTTCAGCCGTTTCCCTTCATTCCCTGCCATCCAGTCTCCCTGCAGAGCACCCCGAGGACCCCGCTGCCCTGATGAGAAAACCGGGGCTCCGGGAAGTGATGTGATGGGCTCAGGGCCAGCCAGCCGGAGGCTGGGCCTCCTGGCTCCACTGTTCCCGAGGAGCTGGGCCGTGGCCCCCAGAAAGGGGCAGCCAAGTGGCGAGTGTCCCCCACACCCACCAGGGGGCAGCAGACGACCGTCTGCGCCCGTGGCTGCCTTGGCCTGAGTCCCAGCCTGGGGCTCATCATCTTTTTTCTCCACCCAGGCAGGAAGGCCAAGGGCGGCGCGGACAGAGGCCCCTTTCTTGTGGACGGAGCCACCTGTGGGAGAGGGACACAGGCACGTCCGGGGCACTGGGAACAGGACCCCCCAAGTGAGGGGCTGGGGCAGCCCCTCCAAGCACCAAGCACTGGGCGAAGCCTCTGGGTCGCCACCCTGTAGGTGCCTCACAAGGGACTCTGGCAGGGTGGGCGGCTGCTCCCCGTCCTGCAGGGGCGGGGGTGCATTGCCGGGGACGGCGTCCCTGCTGGCTCTCGGAGCGCAGGCCGGAGGGGCCCCGTCCCCCCTTGGCGACCGCTCAGGGCTGCAAGGCAGGCGGGCACCCAGCCCCCCGCGGCAGGTTCCTTCCCGAGCTCGGTCCCCACGGTGCCACACCCGTTTCCTGGGGGGAAGGGCGCCGGAAGGGAGCGGGAGGCTCACCGGTCACTTGGCCGGAGCTCACTCCTGCCTGGCCCCCCGCAGCGCACAGGGCCCAGGGTGCCCTCCCCGCCCCTCTCCACAGGCCCCGTTTGGGAAGGGGCGAGTCTGGCTCTCTGCGGCAGCCGGTCCCCAGAACAGAGGGCCCATGGGACCCTGTCCGGGTTCGAGGTGAGGTGGGGGTGCCCCCTGCTCGGCTCCTGCTCCAGCAACGCCAAGGGAGAAGGGGGCTGGGCCCGAGGCAGCCGCCCAGGGCTGCCCCAGCTCCCCCAGCACAGGGCTCCCCCACGAGTGTCCAGGGCAGGGGGCCCCTCTGACACGGGTCACCCCACGCCTGCGCCCCGCGACTGAGCCGGGCTCAGAAAGGAGCTCAGTCTTGTCCTGCTGGCCCAGCCCGTGAGGACCCTGGGCTCCCGGCAGCTGAGCCAGGATCCACACCGTGTCATTGCCAGATGGGCTCTTTGTGTCCTTGAAGTCCCCCCGCTGTCACGAGCCGGCTGCCGGGAACACTGCCCGCCCCACGGGGCGTGGCCCAGCGAGAGTTCAGGGCAGGGTCAGGCAAGGGACCCCCCAGCCAGCACGGGGCGCGCGGCCCTGGTCCGGTCTGGCCCCGGCTCCTTCCCTCTCTCCCAATTGCTTATCTCACATGTCCCATCCCAGGCGCCAGCACTGGCCCCTTGGGCAGCTGCTAGGGGCCAGTGTGGCCTCTGGGTCATAACGCAGGGGAACCCTGCCCCTGCGCAGGATCAGAAGGGGGGCTTCCTGCCGGCCCCGCGCCAGGGAGGAGGAGGGGAGCGAGGCTCTGGGTGCGTCCCGGGCCCGTGCCCCTCCGGCCTCGTGTTGTCCCTTGGGGGTCGCCTCGGTCCCGCCCGTGGCCCCTTCTGGGCCTGAAGGGCCGTGCAGAGGCGCCCAGCGAGACAGGGGCCGCCTATTGATCTTCAGGAGCGGGACGCAGGAAGGGACGCACAGTCGGCGACCGCCCGTCACTCCGCAGGCGAGAGCGCTCGACCCGGGCGCAGAGCTCCTCAAAGTCCGGGTGCGGCCAGTGGTGGGCCGGCGGGCCCGGGCCCCCGCCCTCCGCAACTTTTGCGGGTGGCAGCCCGGCAGGAAGTGAGTGGGGGCGGGGGCGGCGCCTGGGTCGCGGGGAGGTGCCCAGCCAGCGCCCCGCCCCCGCCCCGCCCCGCCGTGGCCGCGCCCCCCGCGCCCCCGAGCCCCCAGTGCCCGGGAGCCGCGGAACCGCGGAGCCTCTGAGTCGGAGCGCGGAGCGCCGAGCGCGGAGCCCGCAGGCGGGGCGAACAAAGCGGCGGCGGTGAGGGCGGCCCAGGCCCGGGACGCGCGGAGCCAGCGACCCGCCGGGCCTTTGTCTCGGGCGGGGCAGGAGCCGCGGCGGCCACGGGGCGCCCCGAGCGCAGAATGCGGCGCCCGGCGGCGCCGATCGCAGAGCGCTGCGGCGGCGGACGGCGTGGAGCCCGGCCCAGGGCCCAGGCGGACTCGTGTGTGTGAGCCGAGGACCCCGCGCGCTGCCCGGCGCCGACCGCGCGGCCGCACGTGGGCGGGAGCGGCGGCCCGCGAGGAGCCCGAGGAGGAAGAGGAGGGACGCGCGGGTCGCGGGGGCACCGAGGACGCCCGCGCGAAGCCCCGCCCCGGCCGCCGAGTCCGGCGCGGCCGGGCGGGATGCCCCGCGGTCGCCGCACTTTGGCCCGAGCGCGGCGCTGAGCGGCCGGCCCGGCGGGCGCCATGGAGCAGTGGCGGCAGTGCGGCCGTTGGCTCATCGACTGCAAGGTCCTGCCGCCCAACCACCGCGTCGTGTGGCCCTCGGCCGTGGTCTTCGACCTGGCGCAGGCGCTGCGGGACGGCGTGCTCCTCTGCCAGCTGCTGCACAACCTCTCCCCCGGCTCCATCGACCTCAAGGACATCAACTTCCGGCCGCAGATGTCCCAGGTGAGGGGCCGGGCGCGCCGGGCGCGGGGCGAGGGGCCGTGGCAGGAGCGGCGGGTCTCGGGGGCGTCGGGGCGCGGGGCAGAGGGAGGCGCGCGCCGCGGGCCTCCCGCCGGCTCCTCCGAGGGGCGACCCCGGGAGCGCGAAGTTGACCGAAGTCCCTGTAGCCGAGGGCGCGCCCTCGCTGCCCGCGCGCTCTGCCCCGCTGAGCGGGGACTCCGAGCCGGGCGGGGCACCCACTGCTGCCGCCCGCGCGCCTGGGCCGCGGGGCCTGCGCGTGTCCCGTCCGGCCCCGGCGAACCCGCCGCGCCCGGGGCCTCGGCAGGCGTCGCGAGGGCCGGCTCCGCGCCGGTGTTGGGCTCTGGGGAGGCCGAGCAGGCGCGGCGGGGCGCGGGGCGCGGCCCGCGGGGCCGGCGGGGCGGAGGGAGCGGGCGGCCGACGGGCGGAGGGGGCGGGTGGGCCCGGGGCGCCGCCCCCTCGCGGCCTCCGTCTCCGTCTGGACCACCGAGGGCCGAGCCGCATGGACCCCAGGGCCCCGCAACTTGGTGTGGAGGGAGCGCTCCAGCGCCTCCCCAGCTGGAGCCACCAGGGCCCCTCGAGTGTGGCCTTTGTCGTGGCCGAGGCGCGTGTGGCCGCTGGCGGCTGGAAAATGTCCGCTCCGCCGGCAGGAGCGGCTGGCTGTTCTTGGTCCTGCACAGGGAACTTGGCTGAGACTTAAACAGCGTCGAGGCTGTCGCGCTGCCTTTTCTGGGGTCGTGGAACCCCCACCCCAGCAGGCTTTGCGCCGGCCCCTTCCCGTGGGCCCTGCGGCCCCCTCCTCTGCCGCCGGGACAGTCCCTGGGACAAGGGCCATTTGCAGTGGGACCTCAGGAAGGGGCTGGAGTGAGTCACTGCTTGTCCAGGCCGGGCTTCGTGGCCTCTGCCCTTTGGCTGTGACACCGTTTCCAAGGAGATGGGGTGCCCCCCCCCAGGGAGGAGGGCAGTGCGGCCTCTGACAGAGGAGAGCCTGGGGGGCGGTCCGCCCTCTCACTCAGTGGCCCTGACCAGGGACAGGGAGGGGTCCGCCCAGCGAGGGAGCCCGGGCGCCCCGGAAGCCAAGCACCCCCTTTAGGCTCTGTCGGTCTGAGTGGCCCAAGGCCCGGGAGCCCGGGCCCTGCGCAGAGTGCTGTCGGGGATCCGGCCCCGTCCCCCGTCCTCTGTCACCTCCCTCCCCTGGAGGGACAGGAGAAGGAGGGCTGCGGGGGGCTGCAGAGCTGGGCCTTGGGGGGGTGCCCGCCTTCGGGCTTGCTGGCTCCTGGTGGGTTTCCTCCTAATAGACAGGGTGACCGGGGCGCAGGGTGCAGCGGGGCTGGGCGGGTGTGCTTAGTGGGGGCTGGGCCTGGAGGGACGCTGGGCCCTGGAGCGGCCCCTCCCCGGCTGTGCATCGGGCAGCAGGGGGCGGGGAGGGGGTGGGCTTTGGCTGTGGCAGGTGGCTTGGCCGGAAGTGCGGAGGCTTCCCGGGGTCTCTGTGGGGAGAGGCCCTGAGGGTGACAGCCCCTCTGAGCCCCCGGCCCCGACCCCGGCGCCGGGTGGGAAGGGGCCTGGGTGGTAGGAGAAGCAGGCGGGTGAGTGTGTGTCTTCGTGGTCGCGTGCTCTGACGGAAGCCTGGCGCTGCCACCTCCTGGGCGAGTGACCGCCCGTGGGCCTCAGTTTCCCCGTCCGTGTAAAGGGCAGCAACGGCAGCCACCCCCCAGCCGCATCGGGATGCTTCTGCGGGGGAGCGCCAGAGCGCCCTGGGCGGGGTGCCGTGGAAACGGCAGCGATTTTATGACAGTCACGGGGACGCCGGTGGGTGCGGTCCTCGTGGGGGGACGCGGGCGCGTCTCCCAGGCCTGGCATCGCACGGAGAGCGGGGCTGGCCACCCGGTCCTCGAGTGGCTGCCGCTGGCGGAGCGGCGGCTGCGGGTGGTCCGGGAGCCCGTGTCATCAGTCGGGAGTCACGCGTGGCTCCCCCGGCATCTTCTCGGTTAAAGAGACCATTGTCTTGGCCACAGAGGGCTGGGTAGGGCCCGGGTGGGCCTCTCTGCGGCTGCCCTTTGTCACCCGGGGGACAGAGGCGATGTTCCCTGCGTCCACGCAGTTGGGTCCCGAGGAAAGCCTCATCTGCCCTTTCCTGCCGCTCCTGCCCGGGATGGGCGGGGCCCCGGAGGAGGGGTGCGCGGCCCCTGTGTCCTGGGTGAGACCAGGCTCCGGGAGGCCCAGTGACTTGTTCCAGGCCACACGCAGAAAGTAAGAGACAACGCTGAAAGGCGAACGCGGGTCTCCCCGCAGGACCGTTGCAACAAGCCGTGGTTTCCAGGCTCCCCTCGGCTGCCTCGCTGACTTTCTGACGCGTGGCCCCAGCCGTCGCTGGGCTGCGTGCGTGCGGGTCGGTTTCCACGGGACGGGCGGGGGCCGTGCGGCCCGTTCTCCGGGGACCTGGCTACCGTGCCGGCAGGGCCGTCCTGGGGCCCTTCCTCTGCCCCTGCCGTGCGGGCCCCGGGCTGTCCTCCTCAAAGGCCTCCATGGTGTCCCCTCTGTCCAGAGTGGCACACCGGCTCCTCGTGGCGACACCGTGTTTCAGAAGGTAGCGTTTGGAGCGCCCTCTCTTTGAGTCGATCTCAGCTGGGGTATTGGCCCTAAAGGAGCTAAATGGCCACGTGTGCTTATGGCGCACCTGCCGGGTACAGAACCCGGGGCGCGGGAGGGGGGTGTCGACGGGGAGGCCCATGCTGCCTCTTTGTCGTGCGCCGCTGGAGCCCGCCGAGTGTGCTTTATTTTTTTGTTCAAAGTGCCTGGAAGCCACCCTGGATTTAATTAAACTAATTAGGGGTGGCCACAGTCTGCGGACCCCGGGACGAGATCGCCCGCGGCGGGAGCAGCGCCAGCTCTGTGGTCCTGCGGCCACCGAGGCCGGCAGGCGGCCGCCGCGCTTGGCCTGCAGCCGGGACCCCGGGGGCGCCTCCGCCCGGTCCCCGTCCGTCCCTGTCTCCTGCTGGATGCTCCGGCCGGCCTGCCCCGCGTCCCCCGCTGTTTCGGTCTGTGTCCAACCCGCGCGATGCCCCGGCGGGAAGGCCTCCCTCCTCTGAGCCCCCTCTTCCTGGGGGAGCTCCTCTGGAGGCCCCCTCCTCTGGGAAGCTGCCTCGGACTTCCCTCTCCTCCATCCCGGGGGGGGCGAGCTGGGCCGGGCCGCGGTGCGCCCGCTGTGTGTCCCTCGCCCCACACTTGCCCCCCTCGGTTCCGTATCCGCACCGCGTGGGAGCCACGCTCTGGCAGGACAGGCTGCGAGCGAGGGATGCCAGCATCCGTGAGGGTCACCTGTTCCCTCCAGACGGAGTCTTCACCTCTGGGTCCCTTTGGTCCTCGATCGCTTTGTTCCTTCGAGCCCTGAGCGGCTCGGCGACGGGACAGGCTGGGTACGCGAGCTCCCAGGCGAGCGAGGGTCTCGTCGGGTGTTGACAGGAAAAGCGCCCCTCAGGAAGGTGTCTGGGGAGTCCCCGAGCACAAGCCGGAGGCTCCGTGGTGCCTTGTCTTTTCTCCTCTTTTAGGCAGATTTTTTTTTTTTAATTTTGAAAATGTCTCAGGCTTAAGCGGTGAGTGCAGCACACGTGGCTTTTTCTTGACGCCCGTGAGAGTAAGTCAGGGGCTTGGCTGGCGCCCTTCACCCCGACTGTCTCCGGTGACGGTGACGGGCATTCTCCCGAGGTAGCCGAGCCCCGCCCCGCACGCCTCCGGGTCTCAGGACGCGCCTGTGCAGCAGCAGGGCCACCGAGGCCCCGTACCCTCTCCAGCCCTTCCGGTCGGGGACGGCTCCCAGCCTTTCCTGGGTGTTGGTGGCCTGGGTGTTGGTGCTCGGTGGGCTGCAGAACGTCCCCCCTCGGGGCTTTGCGCCCGCAGGAGTAGAGCACCCGGGGCAGCGTCCTCCTGGTGTCCTGCCCCACAGGTGACACGCGGCCGACTTCACGCACGCGATGGACGCGGCGTTTGCCGGATGCGCCCACTGCAAAGTCCCTCTGTCCCCTTGTAGGTCAGAAATGTTCTTGAGACGTTTCTTCCACAACATGTAAACATCCAGGCCTCCCCCGGCTTGGGCTTTGGTTGCCCGGTTTATTCCACAGATGAGTGTCTGTGACTGTCATTACTTACTGTGACGCTCTCGGTGTCTCAGGTTTGACCAGTGGCAACCGCTTCCGGCCGTCCTCTGTGTGGCTGCGACGTGTCCCTCGCTTTGAGCTCTGCCTGCCTTTGTGGCACGGGACGCCCGAGGCTCTGTCTTTGCCCAGGCCGGGGCTGGCCTTTCTCCCAGGAGCTCCGGTGCCACCGTGGACGGGGCGCTTAGAGGCCCAGCGCTGGGCGCAGGCGGGCGCACCGCCGCTGGGGTGTCCCTGCAGCCCGGTGCGCCTGCGGGCGGGCGCCCGGCTTGTGCGCGTGTGCCTGCGAGCACACACAGGTGTCTGCATGCGTGCCCACGGACGCAGATGTGCTCCCCCCACCGCGACGTTTGTGTCGGCTCCGGCTCAGAGTGGTGGGGCTGACAGCAACGTGCGAGCCGCGTCTGCTCGCGAAATTGCTGGTTGTCACATTAAAAAAGCAGGTACGAGTGTGCAATGTTAGTTTTAATAATACGCTTTATTTTACCCTTGTGCTCGCAACAGGGAGCTGAAGAAATCGATTCCTTTAGCGCATAAAGCACCGAGGTGCACGGAGCACAAACGGGCGTGGGGTGCGCGTGGGGTGCGCGTGGGGTGCGTCTGTGCGTCGTCATTCCAGGGGGCGGGGGAAGGACCCCTGGAGAAGCTGCTCGTGGGGGCGGGGCCGGGGGCGGGGGCAGCGGCTAGGAGAGGCACCAGTGTCCCGGGCGGCAGCGCTTCCCTGTTTCTGCGTGGCGCTGAGCGTCCTGGGGAGCAGGGCTGGGCTGGGGTGGGCGTGGGAGCAGAGGCCGCTGCCCCGACTGGCTGTGCGAGGCAGGCGAGGGTCCCGCGGCT